CCCAGGATCCGGAGAAGGGACTTCTTCAGATGTGCACGTCAGCAGCCTCATGTAACTGGTGGAGTCATCACTCTGGTCAGTCCCCTCCTTGATGCTGATTTTAAAACCCTACTCTCCTTGCCTCTTGGTCTGATCTTTTGGGGGAGGCCAAGAATGGTTTCCCAGTCGGTTACAGATCAGAGGCTCCAGCCACGCCCACACCCCCGGAGCAGGTGACTTGGAAGAGTTGGACGCCCAAACCCTATGGAGCAGAAGCAAGATTAAAGGAGTGGCTGTCAAAGGGAGAGAGGGCAAGTGCCGAACAGAAGAGAGGGTGTGGGGAGAGAGAACAGGGCGAGCCCGAGGCCTGGATTCTGGTTTTAGAATCTCTGTGCCTGGAAGAACACGGGTAGGTGGAGGGGAAGCATACCTAGGTGAGGTCAGGTCGTGTCTGAGGAGACCTGGACTGGTCCACGGAAGATGAATGGGGAAGAGCTGGCGGGAGCCAGGAGGCGGGGGTGAGGACAGGGGCGGGGACGTGAGACAGTGTCGTCAGGTGGGATGGCAGCTCACACTGTGATGGGACAGATGCTAAAATTAAAGGCAGGCATTGGCCTGGGTGGATTTTCAGAACGCCACTCCCCAAACCCACTTCTAATAGTCACCAGAGCTGTGCCTGAACTTTGAGCTAGGACAGGCTCCCCTCCCTCTGCTGGGCGCAACAGCCTCCATCCCTGCCTGGCCTCCCCCAACCTGAGCCCGTTGCCCCAGACCCTTCCAGTACCTCCTTGTTCAGCCCTGGGATCGGAGCCCCGGGTCTACCTGCATCAAGAGGAACCAGCAGTTCACAGGATGTTGCTTCTTTCTCCTGGTGACAGACATAACCATTCTGAGGACCATGACACAAAGATGGGACAGCCCAGGAATGAAAACTCAGGGTGGAGTAGAGAGGAGAGCGTGGGCAAGACTGAAAGCAGAGAAAAGAATCTGCAGAGCAGTGGATGGCTTCTCAAGCAGGATCTTAGGGAGCAACACTCAAGTACAAGAGCCCTCATGTGTGATGAAAGAGCCAGGCACACGGAGTCCCAGCAAAGGGCCAGAGCCCGAGGCGAGTCATCAGGACACGGCACTGCCCCTCCAAGGAGACAGGTGGGGGAGGGGGAGGGCTGGCTTTCAGAGCCCTGCTCCCTAGGAGTAGCTCACCTGCTGCTCTTGGAACCCGCTGGGCTATTCCTTAGGGTGACAGAGAGCAGAGTGAGCAGTTGAGAGGAGTGAAGAGAATGCCATCAAAGTCCAAGACAGGCTGGAGGCAAAACCGGATGGGATGATTGCTCTTGGTTTTGCCAAAACCCCCCATCTTGTAGCATCTTAACTTCCTGGAACAACACGACAACTCTGGGAATTTTTGTCCAGAGGAACGTCTTGCTAGAAAATCAGGATTCCCCTTCCATGCAGACAGGCTGGGCAAGCCTTCCTCTTTCACCTCATTTACTTCCCAAATTTCACTCCCCATCCCCAGGCAACAAAACCATTACAGTTAATTAATACCACTGCTCTGGGGAGATGCACAGGCCTTCCAGGGGTCTCTGGGACAAGGCATTGGGGACACAGCTTGAGCAACCCTGAGTGCAGTCTCCTGGTGGGGTAGTGGAATTAATGAGGGGTGGGCGGTCGCCCTTACCTCTGGGTGCCAGATGCAAGTTCTGAAACAGTCCTGAGCCTCCCCTGTGGTCATCAGGTTGAGGGGGAGGAAAACATGGGCTTGCTTCAGGGCCAGAAGGGAAGCAAGTGGGGGAAGATACCGGTGGTCACTGGCTTGCCCAAATGCCATAGAGTTCCACCCTCTCTTGCTGTGGGCGTCCCCCCAGGAAAGCTCCCTGGGCTGGTCCTCCTGCCACTTCCCAAGTAACAGTAATAATCAGGCACTCTTCTCAGTACTTTCCATGTACTAACGCAGATAATCTTCAAGCCCATTTCACAGATGGGGAATTCGAGGCAGAGAAAGGCTAGAAAATTAGCCTAAGTTCTTACAGCTCCACGAGGCAGAACTGGGATTCGAACCCAGCTCCAGAGCCTTCACTCCCAGTCAGCACATCGCACTGTTCTTAAGGCTGACTACAGGCTCCTTTGAGGGCACTACCGTTTTCTGAGTTTCTGCTTGTGGAAGGCTGAGATGGTACATGGAGAGACAACAGGAAGCAAGAAGGATGTGAGCTTCTCGGTAGATCATCAGCGAAGCCCAGAACCGGTGTCAGAGCTCCTGAAGGCTCTCAGTCTATTCTGAGAGGCCAAGTTCTGTTCTGAAGCCACGTTCTGGCAGCGTCCACACGAAGATCCTCCAGGGTCACGGCTGACCCTCACAGGACCATGGCAGCAGCCACCCCTTTGGACCTTAAGGCACGTGCCATTCAAAGACCTCTCACCAGGACACACGTTACCCAGAGTCTCCCCGATGGCCAGCCTGCCCCAAAGCTGCCGGGAATCTCAGACGCCCCAGCCCTGCCACGGAAATGCCAGCCAAGAGCAGCGGCCAGCGTGCAGGCTGCCCAGAGAAGCCCTGTGCCTGCAGCAGCGACAGCAGCCGGAGTAGCAGAACCGTGCAGGGCAGCCGGCCGGGGAGGATTTCGGACAGCCTCAGATGCTGAGCAAATCCCAGCTGGCAGGTGCAGCGGGGGCAAGTGGGCTTGGGGAACGGAGTCAGCCTGGCACCGAGGCTTACCAGGGCTCAGGCAGCAAAGGGCAGCCTGCGGGTGGGGACTGCAGGACCCTTCCCAGACTTTACACAGCTGCCTCTCTGTTGTCATTCAGATCTCAGCTCAACCAACACCCCTCAGAGGAATCTCTGATCCAAAACAGCCTCCCCGTCACCCACATCATCCCATTTTAGTCTTAGCGCTTTCACTTTCCGATATTTCGCTACGTGTTCATTGTCTGTCTCCCCCAATTAGAGTGAAAGTTCCACAAGGGCAGGGCTCTGCCTTGTTCACTGCTGGGTAACTAGTGCTTAGAACAGTGCCTGGCAGTAAGACCCACTGATACCTGTGAATGAATGGATTGATGAATGAATGAATGAATGGGCCCAAACAGGCGCAGGCCCTTAAACACTGATGAGAGCAGGTATAAAGAGCTAAAGAGCTCAGCCTTTCTCTTCTCCTCTTTCTTAGGAAATATAGCCTTTAAAATTTTTTTATATCTAGCATTTTAAAATGTCTTTCTTTTTCCTGATTACAAAAGTGACATTTGCTCACAGTTGAAATTTAAACACTGCAGAAAGGAATGATATAGAAAGCAAGTCCCCCATCATCCCACATCTTAGAGAAAATCACTTTTAGTGGTATGTGGTGTACTCATTGAGAGTTAATTTAGTTTTAAAAGAAACAAATCCATGCATCATAGAAAGAAAAGGCATTCATAATTCCAGCAAACTAGCAGCCATTATCATTTCCCCTTTGCGATCTTTTCTCATGTATTTATTTTACAAGTTACTATAATGTACTTATCCTGTAACCTGACACTTTCACTCATTACATCATTATCAATTTTTCCAAGTTGTCATATATCCTATGTTCTCCTTATTATAATGGCTGTGTAATATTCCACCAAGTGGAAATCTATAATTTACTTAACCTAGGTGTTCAACAAAGGGAGAACAACTGTTTCCCATTTCTACTCTGACAATGACACCACAAGAACATCTTTCTTATGCCTGTAACAAGAGAATTCAGCCCTTTTCTTTGCTGGAACTATTTCCTAAAGAAAGATTTCTTAATGAACAATTCTACAAGTGGTATCACTGAACAAAAGGGTACAACTGTTTTAAGGCTGACGATGTAGGTTGTTCTGGGGAATTCTGTGTAATGCAGGGAATAGGTCTCCGTCTGAGTCACCGCGTTCCCACAGTGGCCTCCACGACCATCTCTCTACCCACCACCCCACTCCCACAGTCCAGGCTCTCTCACACCACCCCGGCTATAAATCAACTCGGTAACACACTTCCTGAAAGACCCTCCAATCACAAACTGATTTTGCAAGCCTCAGTTGACTGAAAAATAGATTCTAGCCTTGAGTTTTAAACTCTCAACTAGCAGTGGAGTCAAGATCTATCTAAAGCTGAGAAATACCCGGTTACCCTTTCCCGCTCTGCAAACTCCTACATAGAAGCTAAGGGCTCTGGGCTCCCATGGACCAGTCCAACAGCTCCTAAAACTTGTCCGAGTACAAACCCACCAGCGCTCCCTGCCCTGGTTTCCAGGGGAGCTCTCTGCCTGCCGGCCCCCGGTCCCACAGTGGGACTGTCTGTCCTCTTCAGACAGAACAGCCTTTAGGCCGGACAGCCTCTGGGGCTTGGGAGAGCAGCCAACTGTCATTTTTTTAAAGCATCATCAAGGAAAAGCCAGAGGCCGAGGCTGGAAAGAAAGGCTATGTGAGGACAGGTGAGACTCCCCAGCCAGGGGGCCCCTCGCCCTACATGCCGCTCCTCTGGACTGAGGAGGAGATATGGCTGAAACATGGCAGAAGCAGCAGAGAACTTGCTCCTCTTGACCCCCTGGTAGCCACGCTTATGGCAGCTGAGGCACCACAAAGCCTTCACCATCCAGTGCCCTGGATGCTCTACCCAAGGCCACACAAACCACTCATGGCTTCTGGGCAGAGTCTGGAAGCCTAGGTGAGATCCAGTTCCCACTGCACAGAGGTGAAGCCCAGGGCCCAAAGCACCCATAAGCATACAGATAAGAAAGAGAATTGGGGAAGATGCCATCTCCTAAGTGCTGGGTGTCTCACATCACTCATGTCAGCCCATCTGGGTCTGACCCAGTTCTTAGAGGCCATGTGGCTATACAATGGCTCTAGCATGTGACATGGCCTGAAACTGCTGGAAAACCCCCTCCCATTCCAGGCCCATAGCCCTGTGACAGGCCCTTGGACCGGAAGCAGGCTCAGAACTGGAACCTTCAGGCCTGTGCCCAGGCTGCTGAGGCAGGAAGGGCCAGGGATCCCCTGGGAGCCAGTAACGTACTCACTTATCACACCCTTGAGTGCGCGGCTCCGAACAGACATCAGGATCACTGTCCAGGAGTGTCCCGGGTTAACCTTTGTCCCGGTGCCTGGCTGGGCCTCGGTGCCATTCTCAACAGTGTGGGCAAGCATCAGCCCCAGGGCTCAGCTGATCCTCGGCTAGTGGATGGGTGGCTTCCATTTGTCCCTGGAATTAAAGAGGAGGAGTTCATTAGCTTAAACTATCCCCAGCTCCGAGCCACCAGGCCAGCCAGAGAGGCGGCCTCGAGGCAAACACCACAGCTCCGGGCTCCAGGCTCAGCACCTGACACTCATCACACCCAGGCCATGGGGCCTCTCCTGGAGCCTGCCACCTCCTCTCTGCCATCCTGCTTGCCCAGGTCTGGTTAATCCGGAGATGAGAGCCTGGAATGGATCCCAGGCAGTTCACATGGGGGCTAGGACTCGGTGCTTCTTGTGCCATGAGTGAAGTGTGTGCACACTTGTGAATCTGAGCAGGGATATAATTTTAGAATCCAGCTCCATTCTCAATTTAGCTTCAAATTACACTCTCACCTTCCCCTGTAGTGGGTACATCTGTTCTCAAGGGCGGTCAAGAACCTCACGGAAGACAGACGATGTAGAGCATTTGTTTTAGCATTTGGGGAGCCAAGCACAACTACACATGCAAAAACAAGCACACCAACAAAACGTGTGCTAAAACCCTCTACCCGCAATCCCACTGCCCTCATATTTATTTCATTTTATTATTTTATTATTATTGTCGAGACCCTTCCTCTTAACATCGGTAATTGACTATAAGCTGATATAAATCTGACTTTATAATGCCCCTTGCCACATACATATTTTTAATAGAGCCCTAAGACTTGACCATCTGATAGAGACTTCGACATTTTTTTTGCTTTAATATGAAGGTGCTGAAGCTTCCCTGAAAATCCCTTGGATAAACTGTACCTTCTGCACGAGCCCAGGGACAGAGATCAGATCCAGCCCAGCCCTACAGAGGGATGGACCGGCTGCTCAGAAGCTGAGAATAGTGTGTGACCGGCGGAGGGAATTGCCCCCATCCCCCAGTGGACGACCAAGCAGGGTGGGCCACAGAGGCACCACCCTGCGCTGATGCCCATGGCCACCCTCCTCCCTCCCCCAACCCCCCAGGCTCTCTGAGCAGGGGTGACTCGGGCCTTTGCTCCCGAAGGTGACAACTTGCGAGGCAGCAGGGGAGCCAAGAGAAGTGAAAGTGCAGGGCTTGGGGACCTGAAATTCACTGTGTGCACCTGTGCTTGCAGGCAGGGAGGGCATGCACCCCCGGGTCTCTCCCCTGGGCCTCTGCACTGAGAGAAGTGAAGGACAGAGTGGGTGAAGTGCTGCGGGCTGCTGTGCTCTCCTGGCCTCTGTCCCTCCCCAGCTCCTCCACAAACAGGAGCCCCCAACCCTGCCCCACCCGTCCCCACCCCTCCCTTCTCCCAGCCTGCCGGGCCATGGGCAGGGATCACCCTGGAACATACCTATCAGGGGCATGTCCAGCGCGCCCTCCATCTCCAGCACCACGGTGACCCTGTGCCTGGGGAGTTCGATCCCCCCACGGGCACTTCCCCTTCTCTGGGCCCTAAGCAGGCCGCATTAACAGCACTAGTCAAAACCAAACAGAAACAGAAACCAAAGCCCACATCCTGGCAGCACAGCCTGCTGGTCGCCACAGTTAGCCCTGGGGGCCCGAGGCTGGTTAGGCTGCCGCCCTGGCAGATGAAGCGTGGCAGTCAGAACAGGCTCCCTCCTGGGGCCAGCCTCACGCTGGACACCTCCTGCTTCCTGGTCTGCAGGCTCTTCCCCCAGGGGAAGAGCTGGACGAGGAGGTGATGGGGTCCCACCTCTGCCTCCAAGTGCACAAGCTGTCCCCAGACCCCTCTGACACCCTCTGGCCCCTTAGACCGGGTCCCACGGTGTAGAGGGCATGAGGCTCCCTTGAGGACAGCATGACCTGAACCAGAAGTTTTTGGAGTAGAGGAATGTGTGAAGAGCCCTTATACAACTAACGTGTGGTAGTACTTGTACTTTTTCAAGTATATGACCTCTCATAATTCTCCCCAGACTCCTGCAGGGAAGGCAGGAATTATCCTACCTCCCCACCCCCACCCTGTCCCCAGCCCTGCTGCATTTTAAAGATGAAAACACTGAGCCTCAGGATATTAAGAGATTAGGCTAAATCCATACATTTGATTCAAACCCTGGTCCTCGGGCTCCAGAGTCGCCCCTCTTGCCGTATAGCATACCTTCAAAGTGCTTTCCATCCCAATCTCATTCTCAAGGCACACATCTGCATGCACTCATCCTTCATTCGGTGTAATCTACTTAGTCCATCCTGTAAGCAGCTTATTTGTAAACGTACAGCCAAGTCCGTCCAGCTTCTCCTTCAACATGTCCCGATGCCCCAGAAGCTTGAAGGGGCAAAGACTACCGTGCAATTTCAAGCCCTCTCTAACTGCCCTCCTCTGCAGCCCACCATACCCACTCCTCCTTTGAGACCCTGCCCCCTCTTCATTCCTTTGTGATGCCATCCTCCCACAGCCCCCCAGGTATTCCATCACTGATGTTCCCACAGGACTCTGAACAGCCTCCTATTGAAACATATTGCCCCATCTTAAAATGATTATGTGTCTGTTTCCCCCTCCACATGATGAATTCCTTGAGACCATGAAACTTCTGTTGGATGGAGGGACAAGCAAGGTAGACAAGGATCCAACTAAATTACTGGGTGATTGCAACATCCAGTGTTATTAACCAAACATAATGATGTCTGGTGTTCTCTAATTTTTAGGCCACCATCATGGAAGGGTTCTCTCCCACAAAGCACCATAAATGTTGGTTTACAATGGGCAGGGCTGTCTCCGGAGACCAGGGAAGAAAGGAGGGTCCTCGCTATCCTTTCTCCCACCTCCAAGAGCCATCACCCAGGCTGAGAGGTGAGGATAGATGGGGTGAGTGCCTTGGGTCTGGACAGTACAGAAGACATGTCACATGAGGAGGGATGGGGCAGGAACAGAGCGTCCAAGGCATCCCGGGAGACACCGCAGGCTTTCATATGGGCAAGGAGCCAAACTCAGGCTCAGGTCAGAGAATAACAGTGCCTATTCTGTTATTTCTACAATGTGCTGGCACTCTCCAAAGAAGCGTCCAGTTTCCATATATGTAGGATTCATTTCCCAAAGAGGTTTAACCAGCAGCTGCTGGCAGGAAATTCCCTCTGCATCATTCTCTCTCCTCCCCTATAACTATTTAAGGTAAGCTGGGCTTGCAGGATTGCATCTCTGCTTCTCTGACCGGAACCTCAAAATCAAATCTACCCCCATCCACCACCCTTCTCCATGGCCTGGAACCTAAGAGTGAAGCCAGGAAGTGGCAGGCAAACACTATCCCTTTTTCTCTCCTATTCTCCTCTTCCCCAAATCACCCCACCCAGGTGCCCATAGAGTAAAGAGAAGATGCCCCAGAGACCCACTGGGGAGCCCTCTGGTTTTTCAAATCCTCCCCAGTTCCTCCCTTTTGACCCAGAACAACTGCGTTTACTTGTCCTGTAGTAAGACCAGCCCTGAACACAAGTGGATTGGCAACTTCCCAAACCAAGGAGTGACCGTGCTCAGCTACAGATGCAATTGGAATGCCAACCCCCACCCCCCGACCAGGGGAAAGGCTGTATCTGGTCAGCTCCCCCTTGGGAGCAAGGAGACCCAGGCCCTGGGGCCTGGCTGGCATGCGGAAGAAAGGGTGTAGATAGGGGATGGACCCCCCCATCCCGTCCACTTGGCCATGTCCTTCCATTCCATGCCCCTCACTCTGGGCTTGGAATCTGGGTTACCCTGCCTGCTGGACATCTCATCACCCTCTCTTCTGTCTCACCTGTAGGCTACCCTGTCCTGACAACCTCCTCTTCTTCCTTCCTCCTCCCCATGCAGCCCACTCCACCTGACACACCCCTCCCAATGTCCCCCCCTGGAACCAACCCCGACCACCCACCCCCTACGCCTTAGAGGGTGGCCTCTGGCCCTGTGCTCCTTTCCTTTCCCTCCCATCGCACCCCCTGGCACTGTGTAGCTGCTGCTCACTGCCTGAAAGGCTGGACAGCTGCTGGGCTCTCTAATTAGCTTCCTGGCTGCCATCCCAGAGCAAGGCATGTGTTACTGTAAAGAGCTGCCTCACCTCCCCTTCATCAATAATCCCCTGTGCAGATCCCATCAGGCGGCAGCTGAGGGGCCCTGGAATCCTCATCACGTGAGACCAGCAAGGCTCCTTCTGTCAGCTGGACAGGAACAGGCAGCGGACTCACAGCCTCACCCGCAAAGTGACCGGGAATTTATCTGCTTTCTCCCTATGACGGCCCACATCCTTCGGGTGTCCCACAGGTGAATCCACCGCACCTGCCCCTTCATTGCCTCCCCGGTGGAGGCAGAAAGAAGCCCAGTTGGTCTTTCGGAGGACAAATCTGGAGCATCTCAACAGCGCGACTCCCAATGCCCTACTTTTCACAGCTTGCTACAGCCAAGCCACCCCCAGAGATTTCTAAACAGCCAGGGGACCCGGTCCCAGAAGTCCTGTGGAGGCTGGTTTGTTTATACGAGGGGTTGTATTCCAGCAAAGATTGACTACCTGGTGAAGGCCAGGCACTGTACCCCGTGTGAACAAGACAAGGTTCCTGCCCCCTTGGTGCTCACAGTTCTGTGGGGAGACAGACCATAAGTAAGCCAGCCAGCACATACTGTAATGTCTGGTATCAGGCCACGAAGGAGGGCAAAGGCCTGGAAGGGGACAGAAAGAAATTAGATGCAGGAGGGCGAGTCTTAAACTTCTCTAAGGATCCAGCATCAGGGCCTACATCAGAAAGACACAAAGAAGCTTAGCAAAGAGCTTTGGGAAAAGCATTCCAGGCAGGGGGAACAGTAAGTGAAACAAGCTAAACAAGTTTGAGAAACAGCCAGGCCAGAGAAGCTAAAGTTTGTGTAATTAGGGGTCAGACATTCTCTGCCCCTTATCGCAAGGGTCATCTGGTGATCCCTACAGGGCCAACTAGGTCAGGGCAAAGTGCCCAACTGCCAAATAAATGTAGCTAGTCAACTGAAGACTCTTCTTGCAGGCAGGGGCTGGAAACCGTGAATTCCTCATCAGCTGTTGCTTGGCAATTTTATTAACACA